CTTTCAAGCTGCCTCCCTAATGCTGATCCTAGAAGGAGCAAGTCCAAGTAAGTCCATGCATGGGCCCTTTAAGAGGAGCTGCCCAGGGGGTCTAGCAGCCTCAGCCCCCCTCAGCCTCAGTTCCCGCTGGTTTTACAGCCAGAAGTTATGGGGACTTCTCTTCCTGGCACTGAAAACTGTAGACAGGGATCCATCATTCCTCAAAGAAGACTTTCCTGGCCGAGGTACCTCCTTATTTTTATCCGTCATATGTGGGTATGGGACCAGCCTGTCTGCCTCCGCCCCTCCTACCAGCCTCCATGTGGCTGCTTCTTTAATTTCGTAGTTGTAGGACTTCCATTCAGCTCCATGTCAGGCGGTTCTGAATAAAGTTTGTGCTGTAGTTTAGTTGTAATTTTGATGTGGTTGTGGGTGGAGGCGAGACCATGTTTACCTACGCCATCACCTTGACTGGAAGTCTAAAGGTTGTTTTTATTGATGATTATTAAAAACTCAATTAGTTATCACAGTTCTCAGTTTTTCTTCTGATAGTCCCGTATCTTTCTCACTGATATTTTTCAGTTTTATCAACTACTGTCTGTCCCATCAACATATATTTAAGATCTTAAAACTGTTTCACCTTCCACTAAATGGAATTATTTCTGGTGTACTCATCAATGAGTTGATACGAGCATAACTGGTTTGCACGTAGTATATGTTCAATAAATCGTGGCTATTATTATTATCATTATTATTATTGCTCATTAGCATTTGCCCTTAATATTTACTTCTGAAAATTCCCAATGTTCTTTTATATTTTCATCTTTAAAGAGACTGGTGTTGTTAGTTCTCTATTGCTATTATAATAAGTTAGCACAGATTTAGGGTTTAAAACAACATAAATGTATTCTCTTCTGGAGGTCAGCTGTCCAAAATTAGTTTTATTGAACTAATATCAGTGTGTCAGCAGGGTTGCATTCCTAGAAGGGAATCTATTTTCTCACCTTATCCAGCTTCAAAGACACTGCATTTCTTTCTTTTTTAATAACTCACAGTTTGTACCTCTGTTCTGCCTTTACCTTTTTGACCCACTCTCAACCCCTGTCCCCTCTGGCAACCATCAGTTTGTTCTCTGTTTCTATGAGTCTGTTTTTCTTTTGTTTTGTTTGTTCATTTGTTTTGATTTCTTAGATTCCACTTATAAGTGAAATCATATGGTATTTGTCTTTCTCTGTGTTATTTCACTTAGCACAATGCCCTCTAGGTCCATCTGTGTTGTCACAAATGACAAGATTTCATTCTTTTTGTTTTTGCTGAGTAATATTGTATTGTATATATGAACCACATCTTCTTTATCCATTCATCTATCAATGGACACCTAGGCTGTTTCCAGATCCCAGCTGTTATAAATAATACTGCAATAAACACAGGGGTGCATATATCCTTTCAAATTAATTTTTTCATTTTCTTCAGATAAATACCCAGAAATGGAATTGCTGCATTGTATGGTAGTTATATTTTTAATTTTTTGAGGAACCTCCGTACTATTTTCCAGTGTCTGTACCAATTTACAATCCTACCAAAAAACTACAGAATATTTCATTTAAACTACTCTGCTATTCTACTTTGAGTGAGTGACACCTAACAGCAAGCCACATGTGCAGTAGACACAAACATGGGTGGCTATGTACCTGATGCCACATGCACTGGCAATAGCTCTGAGTGAGAACTGAGAGACATAAACGATGGAAGGTCTGAAAAAGCCTGTTGAAAAGAAAGCTTATTTTGCATATCCTCAACAACTAAGGAGTAAAGAGCCAAATACATCAGTTCCTCTCCTCCACAGCCAGCAGGAATCTAGACCAGCAACCTCTGACCTGGAATCAGACGAGGATTTCCATGGTCACGTTGGCCACAGCCTTGCAAAAGGTAGTGAATCTAACGCTCATTTCTCACTGAGCTGGCAAGAGGCAAGAAGACACACACATGTTTCTAGGAATGTACACTTTTACATGATGGTTTTCTCCTGCAAATTAATTGAGAGCTAGGAGGCATTCCAGCATCTCTCTCTTCCACAGTTCCCAATCTTTTTTATTATTCAGCAACCCAGCCCCTCCACTAGACTGAGACGCAACTGCAAATGATGTAGAATGGACAATTAATATTTTCTACGTAGACTTCCTCATCTTGGGTAGATTTATGAATTTCACTTCTGTTATGCAGAAGTTAGCATTTTTAACATGGGTGGGAAATCCTTAATTGTTTTTCTATTGTCTGAAGAGCTCCAGAGACATCTTGTGGTATGTCATCATTTACATTTCACATTAAATGCAAAATGTTTGAAATGAACAAATATTTGTTTTAATTTGATACATCTGCTAACTGAAATGCTAAAAAGACAGCTAACTCACTATATTAAATTCAGTGATTTGTAAACAATTTATATGTTCATTTGTTCTGGTTATAAATGCCCCATAGCTTACGTTTTATGAAACCCACAAAGTAAATTGCATTGTATTAATCTGATGGATGCAGGCCATGATTTCTTCCTCTTCAGTCCATTAATTTATTTCCTAACTTGAGTTAATTAGTGAGGTTCCTATTTTTAAAAGCTGTTTAAATTCATCTGGAGAAGGGCACATTTGCTTTGGAAACCTACTGCAGAGGAAATGGGCTAAATACAAAGGGTAAATTTTCCCAAGACATTATCACACATTGAGCACCTGATTGCCATTCAACAGTCTGTATGTGGGGAACACAGTGGGTGATGAATGCAGACTTGTTACAGGAAAGAGGGAGAGAACCAGACGAAGGAACGAGAGCAGCAGCGAGAACACACTCTTTCCAGGCGATTACTAACTGCGTGAGATATCTTCAAGGCCCTATTCATCTCTAAATAAAAAGCATTCTGATTTTATGCTACAAAATGCAGACTGACTTACACTTGAACAATACTCCCTGGGAAGAGAAGATATGTCTATTCAGAGAAATATAAAAAAATCACAGAGATTGGTCCAGTAGAGAACAAAGATAAATCAATTATTTTTCCTTGGTCAAATGCAGCTTTAATATTCTTAATTAGAATAGAAGATAGTGCCTTGAACTAAAAAAAAAAAAAAAAATGGGTTGGGGGGAATTTATTCAAAATATAAACTACTGATAAAAGTTTAAGATGTGCCTAAGAGTGTTTGGGGGAAGGGCGAACTAGCCTTTCAACAGATGTTCAAATATTTCCTGGAACATTTGGGCAGCAGCCAGTGGATGGGAGAGATTGAGTTGGGTGGCTGCCCTTTCAGTGTCCCCAAAGTTACCCACTTACTTCCAGAAAGGCTGGCCCTCGGAGGCAGCAACACCACCAGCCCCATCTAGGCAGCACCTTCCTTGTCCAAGTCCTGCTTTATTTCTTTTTCCCCTCTCCAGTCATTTCCCTGCCCTGAGCAGCAAGGTGAAAATTTGGAGCTTTAATTACATGCATTTGAATTAGGTCTTCTCTAAGCCTCCAATTCTATGAAGTGGAAATGTAAGTCACCTAGCACACCCCTGGGGCAGAGTAGGCGTCCAAAACTCGCAAACTCCCTCCTCCTTTCGTTTCACACAAGCACGGAGTCCAGTCAAGTTAGCTATAGACACCAGGAGCCAGAGGCAGCTCTGGGACAAGACCAGGTTCTTTCCATTCTCTCCAACTGCCTTCAAATTTTTCTGCATGTCTAAGCCCTGGTCCTGGAACCTGTTACTCAAGTTTCCCACACCAAAACAAACAGCACCTTGATTGATTCCTTCTCCTGGTGCCTCCCTGAAGAGGGGAGAGGGCAGAGGAGACACGTTTATGACATCAACTCCCCCTTGACTCACATACACCCACATCTTTTTCTTGTTTCCACTAAAAGTTATTTTTTTAAAACCTTTGCTAGCACAGACTGTTAAACCTTTGCTAGCACAGACTGTTAAACCTTTGCTAGCACAGACTGTATGTGTCTCCAATAAAGCCCTGTCTCCCAGGGGGCAGCCACCAGGCCCCTCTTTTGAAGGCTTGAGGGTCTGCAGATGGTGGGCTTCTTCTTTACTGACAGAGGGCCTGACTTCGAACATTTGCATTACAACAAAAGTTTGGAGAACAAAGCTTTCTCTGCATGGGAATCTGGTGTCTTGGACAACCAACCAAGTCCCAGGAATCTGTGAAGCCAGATTTTCTGGATCAAACAGGAGGGTGTCCCTGCCCTGCTTCTCTGCTCAGAGAGAGAACAGACCCACCACACCGGAAACTCAAGCCCCAGGTAGATCACCCCTGAGAATAAAATAGCCTCCTGGAGAGTGTGTTTTCCTGGCAGTCTTGCTTCTCCAAAGGAGAAGAAAAAAAATGGGAACAAAATCTAGCTGCCTGAGAAAGGTTCTCCAGGGTAAAGAGGGACAAGATAAGAATGCTCGTTTGGCTCAGCGGTTAGAGTGTTGGCCTGCGGACTGGAGAGTCTCGGGTTCGGTTTCCACTATGGGAACGTACCTCAGTTGCAGTTTGTCCCTGGTCCCAGTTGGGGTCATGTGGGTGGCAACCACTCGATGTGTCTCTCTCACATGGATGTTTCTCTCTCTCTTCCCCCCTCTCTCCCTCATGCTCTGTCTGAAGAAAAATGCAAAAATGTCCTGGGGTGAGGATTAAAAAAAAAATGCTCTTTTATCTCTGCAGAACTTAGTCCTTCTCAAAGGACTTTCACCTCTCCTGCATTACCTAATTTACATTTCTTAATATTATCAACCCCACTTTACCCAAGATATTTTGTGAATGGCTGGAGGTCCCAGAGGCCTACTCTGGAATATACCCAGTCCTTCTGACCCCTGAGCGAGCGCCATTCTCACCATAATCTTAATTCCCAAACACAGAGAGGAAACATCCAGAGACTCAGATCAATGCCTCTTCAGCCTCAAGATTTACACTTTAAAGACAAGATTTGCAGTTAAGACTACAGGGAGTCAGGGTGGGGGTGGGGTGGGGGCTGCTGCCAGGCTGCCCTCCAACCAGGACTCACTCAGGAAGAGGATAGTCTGCCTCCTGGCGGCCCTGCTCTCCTCGCTCTCCGACTTCCTCAGCTGGGTCTGCGGGCCCTTCCCGGCCAGGGTGCCCTGCTTGCTCCTTCTGAGCACCTGCATCATGTTCCAGCACATGAAGGCTACAGCGACCAGGACCACGAGGTAGAGCACGAAGGCGCTGAAGATGCTGGACTTGAAGACAGTCCAGCGGCTGGAGAGGTTGGTACAGATGGACATGTTGGAGGTCTCTGGTTGCTTGTGGTGGCGGGTGAGTGAGCGGTTGCAAGAGAGACCCTGGTGACTATGCACGTGCACCAGGGGGTACTCGACTCCCATAGCAAACAGCAAAGGCAGGGCCACTAGGGTCGAGGTGACCCAGACGAAGCCGATCAGCAGCTTCACCTGGCAGGGCCCGGACACGGCCTTATACCGGAAGGGGTGGCAGATAGCGACATAGCGCTCGAAGCTTAGCGTCAGCACGTGCAGCAGCGTAGCGTAACTGCAGGTCTCGAAGAGGAAATTGTGCAGCTTGCAGGAAAGGGCATAGCTGGGCGTGGACAGGGGGTTCCAGATGATGCTGTAGAACTCCATGGGCATGCCGATGAGGAAGACCAAGATGTCCGAGCAAGCCAGGCTCACCATGTGATCTGTCACCTCCTTCTGCAAGTAGCCTTTCTTCTGCAGCAGCTGGGTGACCCGAATGGTGACGCTGTTCCCCAGAATGCCCAGCACGAAGATGACCAGGTTCACCAGGATGAGGGTGATTTTGATCCAGGTGGCCACCTCGAATTGGGGGATGTGGCTGTGATCAATAATGTGGGAGCAGTCACTGCCGGCACCTCCGGGTGAAGCCATCAGGAAGGAAGCCACGCCACCAGGTCCAAAGATCTCAACTTCCCTCCTCTCAGCGGAGCCCAGAGTTCTTGGCTGCACTCAGGGGGCTTTCTCTCTCCGGACTTATTTCAGGTGCTTTCATAGAAACTTCCTGGAGCAGCCCAACCTAGCAGTGGCCCGGGAGACGCCTGGGGGTGGAGTTTGGGGACGTGTGTAAGAGTGAGGCAGGAAGAGCCCGGGGAAGGAGGTTCTAACCTGCCAAGGAGTCTGCACCGCAGCCCCCAGCGTGCCCGCCCTTCTCTGTGCCGGGCTCTTTCTGCCCTGCAGCCCTCCGCTTCCCTCCGGCTGCCTGGCACTTGCCAGCCCCATCCACCCTCCAGAAGCACCCTCTTGGTGCTGCTGGAGGCCGGCTGGTAGCAATCAATCATTAACCACCGCTGGCTGTGCTCAGCAGTCGGCCGGGCTGCAGGCACAGCCCAGCGCTGGGGTTTGACTCAGCTCAGAGGCATGGTCCAGAAACCAGATCTTGGCTCGGGCTCCAGCGGCCGTGGCCCCACCTCCCCCTCCTCCCACGCAGCCACCACCGAGATAGCAGTGGCCTGCTGCCCAAACCTGCAACCCAGGAGGCGCAGCCCGGGGAGTTGGAGTGCGCTCCAGGGCTTGGAGTCCAAGATTGTGGCTGGGAAAAGACAAACTTCCCCTCTCCTGCCCTACCCACAACTGCCACAGCTGCTCTGGGGTTCCTTCAAAGGTTGGGTCACTGCCTGTTTAGGGGCCACTGGACCCGGGCGCCCGCCTCCGTCACAGGCCAGTTGGTCGGGTCACCCTTGGAGGAGGCAGCAAGCACTAGCCTCCCTGGTGCCTTGCCTCTGCCTTCTGGGTCCTGAGGTTTTTTGCAGCAAATGGTTGAGGTGTGTGCTGCCTGAGCCGCTGTTTCGGGAACTCGGCCCTAGGCAGGCTAATAGGACCCCCTAAAAGTCCTGCCTTTCCCCAGAGCTTCCCGGTGTTCGGCGCAGGGCCCTGCCTTGCCTTCCTGCGGAGGGACCGGTAGCGCGGGGGGCCTTTCAGTTTCGCTCCACCGCCCAGGCCCCTCTCCAGGCAGGCGGTGGCGGGAAGGCTTAACCCGGGCACATAAGTGGATGAGGGAGGGGCCGCTGGTGGACTGCGCGTCCTCCCAGGAGCTGCAGCCTGGACGTTAAGGACAGCAGGAGGAGGCTGCCTGGCAGTCGGGACAGGGTCACAGAGTGAAAATGGCATTAAGGGTCATGACATGTTCCCTCTCTTCAGAGAGAGAGAGAGGAAAACCTCTAGTGGGCCCATTTTCATCTTCTAATTGCAAAATCGGAGAACATGGTGGGGGGAGGAAGAGTGAGGCTATTCTATGCACTGTAGAGTGTTCAACACATACACCCCTCCCCCATTATAGCCAAAATGTTTCCAAACATTGCCAAATGTCTAACGAGAGAGCAAAGCGGCTGCCAGGCGGAGAACCACTGCCTTGAAGGAAGAAAGTATATCCCTTTGATCTGTCCATCCCAAAGGCCTTGCGCTGGCGCTGTGTTAAACATCCTTAAGTTGATGTGACCATTTTAAGGATGAAGACACTGGGTGTTCAGAAAATAGTGCTTCCCCAAGGCCATAAAGAGTGACAGACTTGACGTCCCTTGGCTCAGCGGTTAGAGCGTTAGCCCTTGGACTGAAGGGTCTTGGGTTCGATTCCCAGTCAAGGGCACGTACCTGGGTTGCAGGTTCCATCCTCCATCCCTGTTGGGTCATGGGTCATGCAGCAGTCAACCACTTGATGTGAGGTTTCTCCCCCCTCCCTGTCCACTCTATCTAAAACTCAATGGAAAAATATCCTCAGGTGAGGATTACCCCCCAAAATAAAAAATAAATGAAAAAATATTCTCAGGTGAGGATGTTTATGATGCACATAAAGACAGAGGGACACATGGTCTGAGGACCCCAGGGAATATTTGATTTTAACACTATTTCAGGGGGAAAAATGTTTTCTCTATTTGTTCTCGCTATTAAATTATAAGCTCCATGACCAAGAATTACATCTTCTCAGTCTCTGACACCTCTCCACGGCACTCTAACAATGTTTTGCCAAGAGCCCTTCTCCACGCTCATGTGTGCTATTTGACCTACTTGCTGACTGGGAAACTCCCAAGTCATTTCCTTACCGGTGCAGTGTGCTTAGCTAAAGGACCTCAAGAGTCATCTAGCTGTCCCTCAAAGCTATGGGACTCTAAGGGCATCATCACTACAGATAAGAATCCTGAATGGACTCCTCTGCAAAATACTGTGGTTGTTTGCTGTCCCAGAGCTTACTGAGAAGAAGGCGGTCTGGGAAAACACCACCCTCCCCCAGCCTGCCTACTTCCATAGGCAGCATACATACACACACCAAGTGGCTCCTACCTACTTCCTTCTTTTCAATAGGGAAAAGCACGAAACCTCATAAGTATTCCTCAGCCCAACCATATATTCTTCCTCTGAAATCCTCCTGGTCATTCGCTGAGCCCCTGTTTTAAGCCATGTACTTCCACATAGTTCATTTATTTCAATCCTCAGAAGGTTGTAAGGTAGCCCTGGCCAGTTTGGCTCAGGGGTTGAGTGTCGGCCTGCAGTCCAGAGAGTCCCGGGTTCAGTTCCTGCTAGGGGCACGTACCACGAAAAAAAAAAAGAAAAGAAGGTTGTAAGGTAGACATCATTAGCCATTTTACAGATGCGGAAACTAAGGATCAGGGGAATTAAATGACCTGCCATAAAGGGTCAGAGGCAGGATTTCAACCCAGGCCCCCTGGCACTAAAGCTCTTTACACTCTGGGCTGCTATCTCTGTGCAGAACAGGACTGCACCAGGCTGAACAGTGGCATTTGGGGAGAAGGAATTACTTTAAGTCACCAGCCCTGATGCTTTTCCTCTCCCCAGCTGCAGCATGTATTATCCCACAATATATTTGACAGTTTCAATTTGTTCTGCTCAGACAAGATTCCTATTATTGTCCAGTTTCTTTCATCAAAAAAAATGTTTCCCCAAAGTGTGAACAAAGATTACAAATGCATGGCCAAACAGTAAGAATCAAGCTAATTAAAATTCACTCCATATAGTAGAGATGGAAAATGCATTTTGAATAAAAGTCCAGAAGAATTAAATTTTCTTTTCACCTTTGCTTTTCCTAGGACCAACTAAAAACTATTTAATGTACTCTCAGTTGCTGATAACAGACTGGGGTAGCACCAGGCATGGCTCTGTAATCTAGATTGTTTTAAGTAGCATATTGTATAGAGAAAAGAAAGAAAAGGAATGAGAAGTGAGAGGAAAGAATATTTTAAATACCCTTTGATTTCAGCTCTACTCAGGGGTCACTCGAGGGCCTACACAAATTTATATTCACATTTTACACATTCAGGTGACCGATGAAATCATTTAGGCTAGAGGCCTTCATATTCTTTTTAGCACTGAATCTCATCTCAAAATTAAATCTATACTGGCACTCAAAGTATGAGAAAAATTAAAAATACACATACATATATATTTTTGTAAATTTAAATTTATTTTGTATGCTCAAATTGCTAACATTTACTCACTTAAAGTCAATCAACAATTTATACCCTAAAAAGTGAATAACACCTTGTTTGCAAAGGTTCATGATAAAATCACAATGACTATACATTAAGCTACAAAGGAAATGTCAATAATCTTCAAAAATTATAAATAGTATAAATAACTTTATTTATCATTGCACATAACCAAAAACAACAAAAGCAGAAAACTGAAACATAAAACTTTACCATTTAAAAAATTTTTTAAATTTCTGGAACAACTCTTGGTCAAAGAGAAAAACAAAATTGAAAACTACCTCTCCCTGGCCAGTTTGGCTCAGCGGTTAGAGCGTCGGCCTGCAGTCCGGAGAGACCCGGGTTCGGTTCCCGCTAAGGGCACGTACTTCGGTTGCAGTTTGTCCCCGGCCCTGGTTGGTCGTGCGGGTGGCAGCCACTCGATGTGTCCCTTCACGTCGATGATTCTCTCTCTCTCTCTTCCTCTCTCTCCCTCCCACTCTATCTGTACAAAAAATGGAAAAATATCCTTGGGTGAGGATAAAAAAAAACAAACAAACAAAAAATTGAGAACTACCTCAAGAATAATGACCACAAAGATACTACATATCAGAAATTGTAGGAAATAACTAAAGAAGTCCTCAGAAGGGTCAGAGCCCTAATTACTTATTCTAATAAACAAGAAAGAAAGAAAAAAATAAAGGGAGTTATAAAAGAATAAAATTAAGTAAAACAAGAAGAGATTACTAGAGATCAAAGTAATTATGAAAGAACTAAATAGTAGAACTAATAAATAAACCCCAAACTTTTATTTTTAAGTAGGATCTTCTGCTCCTTAATAATAACTAGCAGCAGCCAGGCTCTCTGCCCCCAGCTCCCCACAGCACAACTGTGATCACTCAGAGAAGAGGAACTGGTGGGGTGGCCCTGGCAACACCCAGACTTGCTGCCTGCAGGCACTTTCCAGACCATGTTCGGGAAGGGGACTCCAAGCAAGCGCAGCGATCTTGCCAAGTTGAGAAAACAGATTGGCAGTCAGGAGGAAAATGTTACTGGACTTTACAGAGTAGAGTGCTGGAAAGGAGGGAGCTATTCGGAGAAAGAGTTTAGGAGTCTGTACAAAGGATCTCTTGAGTCTTCGGCTGAATACAGGTGGACGTGTAGAGCTGAGACTCCAGGAGCTGGGAAAGTGCCCTACTGGGGAACTGTTGGGAGGCTGTAAGCCAAACTATTCCCAAAGTCATACAGGGCTGGGACATTGTTGAAGGTCTAACCAATGAGTGAAGAGATCTCATTGAACCAGTTCTGGAAGGGCCAATCCTTTGTAGTAGGACTAAACTAGTTGCAGAGCTAAGGCTACTCTGGACCTGCCTTAACAAAGGTATTGACCTGAGCCATATCACATGGTAGCTGCAAGCCATATTTGGCTGGGTATACTTGAAATAGAGCTAGTCAAAATTGAGCT